CAAAAGTGATTCTTGAAATATTGAAAAATATTGCCATCAAAAAATACTTAATCTTTTCTGCACCAAAATGTTCTAAAATTACAGCACGAGTTCATTAAATAACAGGTGTGTTTTTACAGTGTGTGATTAATCCATTCAGCCAAATCAATAGCAATGTGGCAGCCATATGATCATCCAGTATTTATGTGTAGATTGAACAATGATCTTTCTGAATAAACTTTCTGCTGTTTCCAGTTCTAACACAGTATAGACACAGACAGCTGTTTAATTTGTCAATAAATATACTAAGCAACTAAAATTAATTACTGTGAGACTCAGTTTTTAGATAATATACTCTCTGAAGTTAGAAGGAGGCAAATAACAATGTAATTACCTTTTCATTCCATATTGAATAATTGCAATGCAAAAAGAACAAATGGCTATACATATCTGTAGTCATAAAATTAAAGGTTCCCATCCAATCTTCCTCAAACAAATGCATTCCATCAAAAATAGAGGCTTTTTTAACCTAATGTGTCCACAAGTGAGAGGATAAGCAGGGTGCACACAGCAGATCCTTCTCAGCTGCTCACCAGAGTCTTGGCTTGCTTTCTGTTTTATAGAAGGCCATTTCTAGCTATTAGAGTTGTGACAAAAATACAGCCATCTATGCCAGAGGCAGAAAGGCGTTTCCAGAGAATTTGAAACTATCATTTTGAACTAAAAAGTAACCCAGGCATTCCAAGAGGAGCCAAGAATAACACTTCCAATATTGTTATGATTAAGAGTCTGGCTCTTTTTTAGAGTATGGAAGCAAGGGAAGGAAGTATATCCAAAAATGTTCACCAGTGTTCCCTAAGACAGGAGGAGGAGTCACAAAGGGCCAGCCAAGGAAGGAGCTGATGAATACATTAAGATATTTAAACCTTTGACTACAGGCAGTAAAACTTTGTGAGGCATAAAATTTGTTCTACTTTTCTTAAAGGGCAGCTCAAGTTTCAGAAGTTTGGGAAATCCTCTATTAATCTTCATGAAATCCACACCTAGACTGGGAAATGTTGAGGCAAGGCTTTAAATCCTAAATATGCCTTTATATGTGCCGATCTTGTCTAGGGTTTTGTGTTTTTCCTTTATGCACAGAAGAAAGCAGGAGACACCATAGCAGTTTTTAATCTTTCTTTTATTTTCATCTACTGATGTTCAAATTGCACTCTGTGAACTGGTGACTCCTCTTATTATGCCCATCATGTTGCCTACTGTAAAAATGTGAATATGCTGAAGTAAATAAAAATAAAATTAATAGCACATAACTCAGAACTGCTGGCAGTGTATCCACACTGGCCTGGAACTGTATACCTAGGTTATTTACCCTCTGGTGAAACTTCTTGCTGTTGTGGATAGGTGGTTTCTGTTAGTAAGTCTTTAAACCATGAGGTTATGTGAAGACACTGCCTTTTGGAGCAAGCTTATTAAAGCTTTTTCAGGTTTAAATTCTGCCACCTCTCAATGGGCAACTTGACCAGGAGGCTTGGCTAAATGTTAATACAGCTGCTCATTTAAAAATGATCCTGTTTCTGATTCTTTGTCACAATTGCTAAAGAACAGTATTTCATTGAAGGCAACCAATCCCCAAGCTGGGGCCAGGCAAGTGGCCAGCCCATCCAGGCTTCCAGGGTTATTCATGGTTATGCTGGACGATAGAGAGCTGAGGGACTGGGGGGATCACAGGAGGGACAGGGGAGTTTATGGCGGGGGACTGCAAAGGTCTTTGGAGAGACTTTGGACGTCTTGAGAGGACATGGCTGTGCTGTGTGAGCTATCACTGGGACAGGCTCTGGGCTTGGCTCCAGGATGAGGTGCTTGGAGCGCAGGAGGCAGAGGCCCAGCAGAAACCATGGAAGTGACCGCTGGCACACAGGTAGCTATTATTCCCAAGTCTTTTTTTCTCTGCTACCTGCATTCGAACCAAGGTCCACAAAGCCCTGCATCGTGGTACAGCCACTCCAGGATACCTGAACTTGAAAAATCTTGATTCTGATGACACCTCTTTATGAAAATGGTGATGGTGACTCATGGTTTACATCCACTGTGTATCAATTGACAGTAGCCACGCAGCCTGGCACAGCCTGAGCCCCTCTGGCCCTGCGGGGGGAAGGGGTCTCGCTGTAGCAGGCCAGGGACCCGTAGAGGCAGCGGGGCTATGGGAGCCGGGCCCCTTGCGCCTCAGCCCCGTGGCTGGAGCAATTCAGACTCCAGCTCTTCTTGCATCCCGGCCACCTTGCTCCCCGCGGCGCTGCCGCTGCCGCCCCGGCGGGCCAGAGCGCCGCTCCGGGCCCTACAGCCAGGGGGACCGGCCTCCTTCGGCTACGGGCCAAAGCGGGACTGCAGAGGCGAAATCCCCGCCGGGATGTGCCTGCCAGCTCCGCTCTTTGAGCCGCCCTTGGCCCGGCTGCGCCGCCGGGAGCACCCCCCACCCACCGCCCGAGCTGCGCCGCCTCCCGCGCTGCAACTCATCTCTGGTGTCCCTTTGCTTTACAGTAGGATGTAGCAGCAGCCCATTTCTCATGGAAATAGTGCTTTGTGTAACTGAATTGACATTTGGCCTTGATACCTGTATCTCCTGATAACTGAAACAAATTTCTAAAATAAATATTGTACTTTGATCTTCCAGCCCTGCATTTTTAATGACAGCTCTGAACATCACTTCATTAAGAATACATTTCAGGAGACTGAAATACTCCGAGTTTGAACACTAATTATTTGTACAGAAAATTATGACTGCAACGTTTCATTTTTCAGCCCATTGGTTTCTTCCAGAAATTAGAATTTATTCTCGATTTTTAAGTAATGTGCTTTCTTGGATGCAGATTTATGGCATTTGTACTGTGGCATCTGTATAGAAACTTATCCAGCTTTCCACTAACTCTTTTGTAACGTGACAAATCGTTTTGGTTCATCGAGATATCTCGGGAAATAACGTACTTTAAAGACTTAGGAGAACCTCGGGGTGTTCAGTGTCTCCTGAGCTACCTATCTACTCTCATTTCGTTTAGAAACATTGTTCAGAGTATTCTCCTGGCAGTTATTAGGTAAAACGAATTAACAAAAATCGAGGTAGGATTTAAATCGGGCATCTCGCAGGACTTCGAGGTTGGCATAAGTTTGGGGATACAGAAGTTTAGGGACAACGCAAGTGCGAGCGGCGCCGTTTCTCTTGTCCGGCGGGTTATTCCTCCTTCAGAGAGCAGAGGTGCGGGTCGGGCTCCCCGCGTTGGGATTCCTCCTCGGCTCCGGCTATCCTGGCTGCAGCCAGGGAGGGGACAGTGAGTGCGCTCCTGTCCCGGTGCGACTTCAGTGGCGCGGCTGGAGCTTGGCCAGTGAGCCCCGGGCACCCGACGGCTGCGGGCGGGGGTCGGGGCTGTGCCTTTGAGCGCTGCTGGCCGGGCTCGCTGCGGTTCCTCGTTTCCCGCCGTGTCCCGTGGGGACACGGCGCAGCCCCCGGAGGGTCGCGCACCGGTGGTGCTGGGATGTGTTCGTGTGCGGTGGGTGGAGGTGCTGGACCCTGCGAGCCCTGCACCCTCGCAGGGAGATGGGAGACCCTGCCGGGCCGCAGGGTCCTGCAGCAGCGGCGAGCCTAGCCTCGTGCGTGGTAAAAGCGCTGGGTGTGGGGCCCTTGTCTCCCTGTTGCCGACCTGGTGAAGCGGTCACCTGGCAAATCGGAAGAGCCTGATGAGGGTGCAGCGTAGGGGATCAGTGTTACACGGGGTCGAGCTTTTACTTCTCCCCAGCACTCAATATGGAGCCGTGGGAGAGGACTTGGCACTTTAATCCCTTCAAAGAAACCGATCTAATTCAAGCCCTACAACTCTTGAAAGTCTTTGAGCGGACGGTGATTGTTTCCACAGGAAAGGCAGATAAAGATCTCTGTGTGCTGGCGTTTAAAGAGACTTCAGTGGCGGTGCGAATACAATTGAACCCAGCGACTGCGGGGAGGATCGAGTTACCTGTGCAAACAGCTCCGGAGGACCAAAGCCAGCCGGCATCTGCCCGGAAGGACACCCCCACCTTCTCAGGACGGAGCTGAACGTCCTCGTTTGGTACTTGACTAAGCAGGCCGGCGTTTGGGTTGGCCTCGGAGCAGATGGGGAAGCGGCGAGGAGAGGAGCGCGTTTCCAGGGCCCCCGGCGGAGCGCGGAGCTGAGCGAGCCCGCGGAGGAGCGCGGGGCCCCGCTTGCCCCTCGCGGGGCGGCACAGTGCGAGGGGTCCCGCCAGCTCTGCGGCCCACTGAGCGCAGCAGCCAGCGGTGGCGGCAAGCTGCGACCCAGATGTGCCTGATGCTGGTTAGGGGGTCAGTAGCCTCCTTACACATGGTCGAATGCAGGGAAGGTTAGATCCTTCATGCACACACGCATAGACACGTATGGACAGAGGCCGAAAGGTGCGGGGTGAGGAAGTAGATTGCTTGGGGCCGAGTTAGGCTTTGAGCAGGAGGTGGGCGAGCGAGTAAGGCTGAGACCAGGCACTATCGTCCGTGTTCCCGAGGAGGCCCCCGACCCGCGCTCGCCCCCGGCGCTGGCAGGCCGGCTCGGCAGGCCCGCCAGCACAGACTCGTCTTCATTTAAAGGAACTACGTCTTTCATACCCGGCTGCCGCTAGGGAAGAAGAAACTTTTCCCTTCGGTTTCCCGGCTGCCCGGTTTGTCGGTGTCTGTCTGCGGGAGCGCTTGCAGGCGGTGGCAGCCCGCCGCTCCTCCCCGGGCGCGGCTGGGCGCCTGCCCTGGCCCCGCGCCAGGCGGGGGCTCCCGGTAACAAGGGGGCAGTGCTGGCTGAGCGAAGCGAAACAAACCCCGCTACCAGAGGAGAAAATGCGCGGTTGATTGCGGAGTCATATCGAGGGCATATCCCTCAGCCTCGGGGGAAGGGCGGGTGGAGGGAGGGAGCGGGGAGGAACCACCGACAATTACTCCAGGGAAGTTTTACGGCTGGGATCGACCAGCCCCGATCAGGTGAACTCGCTGTGCTCTGTTACTTTGGGTCATTAAACACTATCAGAGGGATCTGGAGGCAGATTTCTCGAGCGATAACAAAGACACGTTGTCACTTTAGGGCTCTGCCACAAATCCTTAATTGCCCCCAAAAAAATTTAAAAAAAAAAAAAAAGGAGGGGGGAATCCAGTGTCTTGCACATCCAAGGCGAGGGTCTCTAGGCGGTAAGGGGTCCTTTGATCAAGAAAATCCAATTATTTGTGTATATACATTTCCCACATAGTGATTACTTCATTAATTGTCCCGCCTTTATCTCCTCCCTTCCCATCCCCCCTAATAATCAGTTCTTTTATCCAGACCAACAAACACACCATAGGAGCTTTGTGGATTCAAAGGATTTGCTTTCGCTTCTGAAAGAGCCGCTATTCTTTGATGATTGGGTAGCGGCAAACTTCAAAGCCATAAATCTTCCCTCTGACTGGTTGGCGGCCCAGCAAAGTCCTTATCAAATTCTTGGAGGTGATCCTGGCGCAGTCAGACAGTCCGCGGAGATCGCGCAGTGCGGGGGGGTGGGACGCGCACGGAGGCGAAGAGATCAGAAGAAACGGGAGAGAAGAGGGGGAGAGAGAAGGAAACTGGGCAGCTTCTCATCTTCCCCTCGGCGTCCTCATGCCTCGGCAGTGCCCCGGCGCCTTCCCCTCGCCCCGGGCGCAGTAGCCATGGCCGCGGTGGCTGTCCTCCGGAACGACTCCCTCCAGGCTTTCCTCCAGGTCAGTACCCGCGGCCGGTGCCGCCGTGTCCCGCGGTTGTGACCCGCGTTGCGCGGGGGCAGCCGGCGGCAGCCGCCCCCCTCCTGGGGCTTCACCCCGCGGGCGGCCCGCAGAGGTAGGTGGCGACCCCCGCGGGGGTGAGGAGGCCGGGCTCAGGCTCCTCGGGCCGGCAACTTCCCTCCCCCGCCAGCAGCCCCGGAGTAACTCCGGACAGTGCTCCGGCGGAAGGAGAGTGAGGGGCACGGGGACTGGCCCTTGCCCACAGCAGTCGCTTCTCCGGCCCAGGAGCGGTGGCGGGGCCGGCTGCACCGGTCTCGGGGCGGGGCGGGGGGGCCGGGCCTCCCCCGCCCTCTGGGCGCGCGTTGCTTTCCGAAAGTTTGCCGGCCGTGCGGGAGCGGCGGGGAGAGCCCGGCCGCCCACGGGAAGCAGCGCGGGAAGTTTCCCGTCGGTCGGAGGTGGCGGGCGGCGAGTAACGCGCTCTCTTCCTTCTTTCCCTCCCTCCCGTTCCTGCGCAGGACCGCACACCCAGCGCCTCCCCAGACTTGGCCAAGCACTCGCCCCTGGCTCTTCTGGCCGCTACCTGTAGCCGGATCGGACAGCCGGGCGCAGCGCCCTCGGACTTCCTGCCGGTCTCCTACGACCCGACGCTGGGATCTCCCTCCAGGATCTTCCATCCGTGGAGCGGCGAGATGCCGGCGCACTCCCCGGGGGGGCTGCCGCCGCCGCACCCCAGCCTGGGACTGACCCCTCAGAAGAACCACCTGCAGCCCTCCTTCGGGGGGTCACACGAACTGCCCCTCACTCCCCCGGCGGACCCGTCCTACCCTTACGAGTTCTCCCCCGTCAAGATGCTGCCCTCGTCCATGGCCGCCCTGCCGTCCAGCTGCCCGCCCGCCTACGTCCCCTACGCCGCTCAGGCCGCCCTACCGCCCGGGTACTCCAACCTCCTGCCGCCCGCCCAGCCCTGCCGGCAGCTGTCACCCAACCCGCCGCCCGAGGACATCCCCTGGTGGAGCATCCAGCAGGCAGGTGCCCCGGGCGGCTGTGGCCACCGCTTCCCCGCGGCCGCGGCGCTGCCACGGAGCCTGGTGCTGGGACACTCGGACTTCGCCCAGTACCAGACGCAGATCGCCGCCCTGCTGCAGACCAAGTCTCCCCTGGCGGCCACGGCCAGGAGGTGCCGCCGCTGCCGCTGCCCCAACTGCCAGTCGGCCGCGGGCAGCGCCCCGGAGGCGGAGCCGGGCAAGAAGAAGCAGCACATCTGCCACATCCCCGGCTGCGGAAAGGTGTACGGCAAGACCTCGCACCTGAAGGCGCACCTGCGCTGGCACACGGGCGAGCGGCCCTTCGTCTGCAACTGGCTCTTCTGCGGGAAGAGCTTCACCCGCTCCGACGAGCTGCAGCGGCACCTGCGGACTCACACGGGCGAGAAGCGCTTCGTCTGCCCCGAGTGCGGGAAGCGCTTCATGCGCAGCGACCACCTGGCCAAGCACGTCAAGACCCATCAGAACAAGAAGCTCAAGGCGGCGGCGGACGGCGTCAAGCGGGAGGACAGCCGCGACCTGTGACCGCCGGCATCGGCCCGGGACCACCGGCGGCCGCCGCCCCTACGGGCCGAGCCGAGGGGCGGCGGTACCCGGGCTGAGGGCGCTCCGCCACCGGGGGCAGGGCGGCGGCGGGGAGGGTGGCCGGTTCTCGGACTCTTGTCGGGCCCGGCGAGCAGGAGCTCGGCTGCGGGCGGCCTCCGCGGACCCTCAGGCCCGGGACTGGCCGCTCGTAGGGCCCCGGCTCTGTCCCGGGACAGGTGCCCGGCCTGCCCGGAGTGCGGCTGAGCGGAGGCTGCGGGCACTGGGGCGAGAGCGGGGCCGGCCTGGCCCGGCCGCGGGGGTCGAGGCTTAGGGGCACCCGGGGGTGAGGTGGCAGCGTCGGTGTGACCCCACCAGGGCCCGGCCCTCGGTGCTTTCAGGGTAAAAGACTGAAGTTTTGTGTACAGGTTATTTAATAGTTATGTTTGAATACACGTGTTCCCTTCCGTCCTCGGCCCCGCGCGGGGACCCGCATGAGATGTTTCTGTAAAGCGACCCGCGACCGCAGCGTGAAATAAACACGTTCACACCAGGGTCAGCAGGGACGGTCCCGCCGCGTCGGTCTCGTTTGATCCTCCCCCGGGCCCCTTCCCGCCATTTCCCGCGGGGGCGGCGGGGCGGCTCCGGCTCCATCGTGGCGGCCTAGCCGAGCCCAGCGCACTGTGAGCTGAGAGCTGCTCGTGGTAAACACCTTTGCAAATCCCCATAGCTGCCTCGGACCGGCTTCGGTTTGGTGGGTTTGGGGTTTTTTTAATTATTGTCACTATTTTGTTTCCTACGCATGACGCTAAATGAGAGAAGAAAGAAATGCATGGTGGGTGTGAATATACAGGTCATGTTCTACAGACTGACAGAGGTGGGCAGCGGGCAGTGTCACTGCACATCGTGTGCATTGTGGCCTCTTCTTAGAGATGTCTAGGCCACAGGGCCAGTCACAAGCAGCCATTCCTGGCCTGAAGTAATCTGTGGCACAGCATGGCCAAAAATGTTAACTTTCCATAAAACTGCAGAATATAAGGGTGAGATATTTGTTATCCTGCTAATAGGATGAAGTGGCAGTGACTGTCTTGCAGAGGGGCAGAAACTTGGCCCAAAACTGTTTATAAGTACCTGTTAGATGGTGACAGCTTTTAGGGTTCCTTATCTCTCACTGGGCATCACGTAAGTATGAGTTTAGGCATATTTATTTTCCAGTAATGACTTTTCTACTGCAAGGAGTTTCCTGTTTATTTTTTTTAACTGAAATCTGTGTAGCCAAACAAATGAGCAGCCTGATCAGTAATTTGCTAAACTTTGCATTTTAACAGAGAATATGTTAATTGCTTGTCATATTTTTACAAAGTCGGCTTAATTTTCTGATTACCTAATGACACAGTGAAGTAAAAAGTGCCTTTGAAACTTCACCAGGGCTAATCTGGAACCGTTCAGCTTCAGGTGAGATCCTCTGGTGGCAATTGTCAAACAAGCTTTGGCATAACCCCACTGATAGAGATACCCTTGGCCATGGATTTCTGAATCAAGAAAAAACACAGCTCAGTAAATGTTTGTGATGACAGGATGTGTAAAACTGATGAGTTTGTATGTATGTCAAATACTGCCAAGAATCTATTCTCTCAGGGAATAATGAGATGAGACAATACCAAAAAAACCCTCATATCTGAAATAATGGGAAGTTAATGGACAGTTACCATGGTACAGCTCATTAACAATATTTTAATGTTTATGATTTTAAATGAATTTCCCACACCATATTCTTAGGGTCAACTTACTAAATTAAGAACCAAGCAATTATCTTCTTTACTATTGAAGAATCTTCTATAATCTGTCCTTTATAGAAAACCTTGTGATAAATATGTTTAGCTTCATTAGTTAGCATTCCTTTGCCAAAGATTTAGGCTCTAGAAGTGTGTTGTTGAGGGATATTAAGTAGAAGATACCTTTAGTGTTCCAGATTGAGCGACAGCAAGGCAGGAAATAACTAATGGAACTGATCCAAAAGCCCTTAGTCAAAAAAGTCTTTGAGACAAAAGCACATCCCATTTGCTACTGATGTAGGATTTAAGTATTTCATCAAGAATAACTATGTTTCTGCTTTTTAAAATGTTTCATGGCATACAGTGGCAACCTACTTCCTTTCTTTGATATTAAGTTACATTAAGACTGTAGAGTTAGAGAATTTAGGACTTTAAATGAGAGTTTTTTTCACTAAGTAGTCGTTCCATTCCCTGTTTGGATTGGAACTACTTAAAATGGACAGTAATGGAAAGAGCCTTTATTGGTGGCAGTACAGAAGAAATAACAGAGTAGGAAAGGTGTCTTACAGGATAGAATAATTGCCACGTGGTAATGCCCTTTCACTGATAAGTAAGTGCCAAGATCAAGATGAAGTACTAGCTGAGCTGAAGCAATGTATTAGATGGTTTAGCCTGACTAAGAACTAGAGAACTGCTCCTCTTAGAGCAGGTGTAACTAGCAGAAAATAGCCTGGTAATTGTAGATGTGATGATTTCTAAGCTGGACTGTTATGGAAAGATTTTTCTCCAGTTGGAAGACAGACTGATTTTACCCAGCATATAAGTCATCTGGTCTAGCCAGGCTATTTTAGGTTCTTATTCATTTTGCAAGACACAACTTGTACTGAAATCCTGAAAGTTTTACTACTCACTTAAGTTTAAGCCTGCAAGTAATTCGGGTTTTAAGCAGAAGACCATTGTCCAGGTAGTGCCAACACCATGTCAAGGGGGTGGTGGTGGTATCTGATTAAAAAAAAAAAAAAAAAAAAAAAAAGTCAGTGGCATTGTTGTAGCCTATGCACCTTGTATATCTGTGTAATGACCAAATTATAGCATGAAAGTGCTGAAAGTGCACAGGTTAAAAATACGTATGGTCAAAATTAGTTAAAAACCTGTCATGAGAGATGCATTAAGTGAAAGCCCATAGTGTCAAATACTAATGAAAAGTCTTAATCTGTGAGAATAGCACACACCAAAAAAAAATAGGCAGAAAATTAGTGGCTTAAGACACAAGATAAGTAAAAGTAAAAGTTTAGAATATAAAAAAAATACTTAAGGAAGCATTATTTCTCCATAAAGCTCTTAAATAGTTCATTGGAAAAAGAGGGTATATCCATCATAGCTGTTTCATATTCATCTGTAATAGCTAACTGCTATGATAGCTTTTCAATTGAAATCATTAAACCTTTTTAGTAGTATGGCATTTAAATATACATGTGACCTTTCAGATGTATGGGTAGAGCATTACAAAAATATATTGCTTGCATCTCAAGAATTTATTTCTAGTTGGCAAATTGCACTCTATAATAAAATTAACTTTTAATTTTGCATTCACAAAATATATTTTTTACTTTTAGCTGTTTCCAATCAACAAGAACAGCTGTTCATTTTATAAAATTAAATGATTAATATTCTTAATTATAAATTTTGAGTACCTATGCTGTTCAAGGTCAATTCATTTCCTAATTTTAAAACTTAAATGTCATTGGTATAATAGATGTATCATATAAACTAATTCATCTTGTGGTTAATTCATGTTAATTAATCTCAACCAAAAAATGGGATATGCTTAAAAATCTAGAGATTTGGCCTGTTTTCTGTGTTGGAAAGATTGGGCAAACTTCTAAGCAGAGAACATTTAAAAAAAAACCTACCAACATTGTTTTTCATATAGTTTTGGGGTTTTTAATGTGTTGTTAATCAAATTATTTTTAGTTAAGGGCCAAATAGAATAATACTTTCACCTGAGAGAAGGTTGCGGAATTCACCTTTTGGTCCTGACTGACCAGATTTTCATTGCAATAATCCAACAGATTTATAATGTTATGTTTTCTACCTCCCCAACTGCCATTATAGAAAAGGTAAGATAATTTTTTTTTAAAACTCTGTTGGGAGATATCCTTCCTAAAACCATCATTGTGTAATTTTTTCTTCCATACTAGATTATAGATGTAATTTTTGAAAGAAATATTTAATCTATTATTTGCAGATTTTGAGAGATTGCATTTTAAAGTAACTACAACTTAACTATTTCAGTTTTTAAATTCTCTTATCTAATATTAGTCTTGAATACTGAAGAAATAGGGAATATAAAATGCTCGTCTTGAAATTCTTAGATGAAAGGTACCTTTTAGTGTTCAGTGCTATTCAATGACTTTAGCAGACTACTCAGGAGTTCATAAATAGGGAAAATGTGTATGTCTCTGCAAGTAGTTGCACAATTGTCAAGGCACTTCTAAATATTTTTAATATTCTCATAGTGAGTGGTAAGAAACAAAAGTATCATTCCCAGCTTCTTTTTTTTCTCTCTGTTGTAGTTTTTCCAGTTATTTCTCACGCTTTTTATGAGAGTCTTGTGAATCCTGTGGTAAAGATGTGAGATCTGCTGTTCTGGCACCTGATAGAGTCAGCTCAAAGACCTTTTTAAAAATACTTACCAAACAAGATCCATAAATCTTTGAGACTACTGGGTTTTCCTCCAAAGGGGTTGCTTTGCAGGTACCTTCAATAACATTGCATTTAAATATTGTCCAAGCCACTGAGGACCTGGAAGTGTTCAACAACCAGCAAGGCTCACTCTTATCAGGTAAGTGTTAATGTGCAGCATAGAGAAGAAGAATCCAAGGCCCTTGGATGATTGAAAGAATAGTCTTGACCAGAGAAAATCAGCAGATATGTGTGTAATTCAAAGGGTCTTTTAAATAAGTTTATGGGTTTTATTCGCTGCTAATATTTACTCCCAGTTGATTTGAAGTCACACAGCTGTTTCATTACAGGTAATGAAAACCAGAGAAAGCATGTATTTTGACCCTGTGACTGTGACAAGTCAGTGAGAGATTATTGGTAGTGAGATTTGACCTTTACCTTGGAGGCCATCAATGCTGTTTTTCTTCTCATCATCTCTTAATTTCATTTGTGTTATACATTTACTTAAGTCCACACAAAATCCCATCATGTCCCTAACCCAGATCTGGTGATTACATCACTGCTTAGCCCAACGTGAGGCTGCGTACAGAGGCTGTGTGATCGCTGAGCAGGGTTATGGATATCCACTCAAGGGCATGCAGACAGACAGGAGGTCTCCATCTCCTCTGCAGGTGACTGTGAGGTGCATCCTGTGCTGCAGTGTATTGAAGTCAGTGGTCAGGACCTCCTGAAGGAGTGGCAAGTTCGTACTGCCCTGTGAACTAAGTCACTATTCTCTGAACAATCTGAGTGCAGAGGCCTTGTGCAGAGTGTCTGTATAGGTTCACATTTCTCCATTAGTGGTAGGTACAATTTAATGTTCAGTGATATTCAATAATTTTAGGAGACCACTCAGAATGCATAAATAGGAAAAATTTATTAAATTGTGCATATAATTGCACAATTATCAAGGCGCTTTTAAATGAGCTTTGTACCAAGGTAGCTCATCTTAATCTCCCTTTTCAGGAGTATCAGCCATGGGCTTTTTTGACCATTGATGCCAATACTGAGCAAGTAACTTGCTGTAGGCAACATCCTACCTTGTCCTTCCTGTCAACCTGTCCCATCATAAAATGCAATCCCTTTTTATATTTGTAATTTCCTGCCGCCACTGAATCATGGACTTTTACCATGACAGTGACTGAGATGTCCTGAACTGGGTATTACATCACCATAGCATTTAGTATGGAGGAATGATGAACCATCAGGGGGTAAAATGAAAAATAACTCCCCCTTATTTTAGACGATAGTTATACTCAAAATAAAAAATAATATTCAAATGCCTTGAACTGATATTTTTCACAATTTAAAAGTTTCTTTTTGCAAATACCAATGACACCAGCTTCAATAGTGTGTACCTATGTATTTGTATTTTTAAAAGGTAAGGTTGTCTGCAAAAATTATACATTCTTATTATCTCTAAGTCCCTGTTCTTATAATAGTACTAAGCTGTTTAAACAGCGTTCCAGTATTAATCTGTTCGCTACTAAAAAACATTTTTCATTTTTTCTTTTTAACATGAACCAGACATCACAGAGCACACTTTCAAAACAGGCTCTAATTATAAAGCAGGTTAAAAGAAATTTTATTGGCCAAAGACCATATCTTCACTTGGGGTCATATCCCACATGCTTTTTTCAGGGTCAGATGGCGTGCCTGTGATCTCCACATGCAGATCTCCCATCTGTATGGAAAGGAGATGTCAGTCACATTCCCCCTATTTCATACAGCTCTCCACAAGTCTAGGATCCACATGTGAAGAAGAGGAAGGAAAACCCACACTATCCACTCATCAAAGATTAGACAGGAAAGATAACACAGTTTGAGAATGTCAGGTGGTCTCAGCTATTGTATGTTAATACCAAAGGAGTATGGACATGACTTAATTTCTTCCCCTCACATCTAAATAATTAGCTTTCCTTCTGAGCAGGAATAGTGGTACTGCTTTGCTTTTGTTGAATCCTGCAAGAACAGCCAAACACTTGATATCTCCTTACTTTACGTGTCATAAAACATTGCTTTGTGCACCTTAGTAGCCCAATATAGGAAGCCCATTCTTTGCAGCATTACCTGACCCTTCAGCAGTGTGGTTCCACTGACTTCTTACTGCTAATTTGCTCTGAAAGAACTGAAAGTGTTTTAAGCAGGCAAAGATTATACTTTTATATTTTCCAAAATATTAACCAAATCTTCTTATGTGCCTACATGAGGCCTAAGGCTATGTCTGAGCTTCTTAATAAAATGCTTAAATAAATTGTATAATGACGCTGAGAAGCTGCTTGCACAGTGCTGTAATCAAAGCTGTGTTCAGTGCCTGAATAGTTAAGTTACAGAGCACAGAACCGTGAGCAATCCTGTTAGGGGAAGTAGGTTCTCTGTAACACACTGTAAAACTGCATGTGAACATTGGAACTGTAACTCTGCTACCCCAATGGGATCATGAATATACAAAGAACAACACTAAACATGCTCAGCACATCCTGGCGGTCTACAGGGAAGTGGTTTTTTCTCATCAGAGGAAGGGCTTGTTAAATGTTTTTCCCACAAGGGTGGAAAAAAGAGGTTCATGTATTTGAAGATCATTGTGCTTCTGTCAAGCAGGAGGGTGAGACAGAAGACAAAGCAGCTAGGTAACCTTTGCTTGCACTCACAGCTATCAAGGAAGGAGTCCTTGTTCCCTTCTCTACTTCCTGGGTGAAGAGGGGAGACACAGTACACAAGATTCTTTAGAAGTTTTTAGCTGCTTGACTTTCCCCAGCTTCCCTACACAACTCAGGAGAATTTGTGGTACAACCCGAAGTTTTCTGCAGGGTGCTCCAGGATGCAGCTGTTGCATTGCCTTCATGAGGTTTGCTCTCTCCCCACATGAAAAACATTTCCTAAGCTAAATACAGTGATTGCAAAGTGCTGAATTCATTGAGACTTTAATGTGGGAATTACCCTCTAGTTTTACCATTCAATTATTTTTCTCATTAGAACCACAGTTTTAATCTGCTAAGAAATATTAAATATTAAAGAGTCAGTAAAGCAGAATAGTATGTTACATTAAAATAATTCCTCATGAAGTGCCTAAGTACGTTAGAATCTCCTTTGTCTGTTTATTTTATGCATTCATTCATCCTAGACTTAATTTAGAATAGGTGTCAGGTATCAGCTATAATACTGAGATCGAGATTCTGGTGTAGATGTGGGAACATCTGACACTCAGTGAGCATGTTCAGGAAAGGGGAAGGAGGAGGGTAAGTTTAAGCCTGTTTTTAATAAGCTACAGCAATTAGATGTTTTGAATACTCAGAATGATGTATTAGAATTATACAATTATTTGGTTTGTTTGATTGCTTTTCAATACACTTGAGAACCATCTCCTAATTAAGATACACACACTATCAAAGATGAAAAACTTAGATGATGGTAAAAACAATTAGAATGATGATGTAGGCTTAGATTCCCCATGGTTCTTGTACAGATCTGTGAGACAGCGTAGAGTATGGGCACATGGAATTTATTTTCTCTGCACAAGGTCCAGAAACATCTGCAGTATTTGTGTGCCCTACAGGGACATGAGCCACCCCAGAGCAGGTGTGAAGCGCTGGGACATGGCTCTGTTTTCCCTGAGCTGTCTGGGTATGCTCTGACAGCAGGAGCTTTACCCTTCAAGGGAACTGCTGCAGTTAGCCACTGCCCTGGGTAAGGAGCTGTTCCTCTCTGTCTGGGGATAATAATCTTGGGGCACTGCAGTCCTTATCCTGCTCCCAAGGCCAGACTGTTAGATACTGCACAGTCTCTGCCTGTGGAGCATATGCCAGCTATGTGTTAACTA